ACTGGCTGGGAGCTCACACAGGAACAGGTATGAGATATTATGTTTGGGGTTTCTACTGGCTGGGAGCTCACACAGGAACAGGTATGAGATATTATGTTTGGGACTTCTACTGGCTGGGAGCTCACACAGGAACAGGTATGAGATATTATGTTTGGGACTTCTACTGGCTGGGAGCTCACACAGGAACAGGTATGAGATATTATGTTTGGATTTTTAACATAAGGGGCCATCTCTTCACGTCAGCTGGTCCAATTGAATGGAATCTGCTACCAGGTGATAGGTTCTAAATTGAATCAAATGCTAACTTTAAGAAAGAGTTAAAAACACATCTTTTGTAGAATCTTTATTCTTGATTATCTTACTTGAATTATATTTATGTGAGAATCAGGCTGTTTTTGTGTACAATTACAATCTTTTAAAATATTTTTTCTTTATTTTGTAGATGCAAGAACTGAACAGGATATCCATGCCTGTAATTCCATACCCGTACAAAATGATACGCCTGTTAAACAAGACTAGGAGAGATATGTCCATTTAAAGTGAAATTTAATAGGCAATCTTTTACAGTACCGTTAGATAATCAAACTTAAAACGGGACCGAAGTTGATGTCAAACCATTATTAAACAGAAATACAGACTTACATCAAATACATTGGACTACTTTTTGTATGTCATGTTTGATCCGTTGCGTTATCTCGAGATTGACTTGGAATATTAGGCATTATAATTCGTATTGGAATTTATTTTGGAAACTAATATGAATAAAGACAATAGATTAACGGATATAACATTCAGTGGCAAAGCGATTCTTCATTTGCTTCATTAACTTTTAGCGAAGTATAAAGAAGTATGTCACTTCAAAGAACATGGCAAATATTTAAGTTCAGTCTATGAATACAAGATCTCATTTTGAATCCTAGGTTCTGATATTTATTTTTATTGCGTCGATATAACCACGTATGCCATATTGCCTGCTAGCAATATTTGATAGAAGCACCTTTTTAATGTTAGGTTGGATAATTCTCTATGCATAACTGGTCATTTTTACAACAAAAAATCACACAACAAGGACGCGTTTCTTTTCTTTAAGCCAAACATTTATTCGCGTGTTCTTTATGATAATTTGATAATTCTGAATATCACACCTTTATTTCTTTTCAGACTGAATCCTTCTTCATTTTAATATGGCACTCTACTCATCAAGCAGTACACTTAAGCGATATGGTACCCCGGTATCTTCCAGCTCACATTAAGATGCCCGTACGTGTTATCACACGACGGTGAATTTTTAGCCTTTCCACAAGTTTTTTTACGACATCGCTCCCTACTGTTCAGTCTTGGACAAATAATGCCCGACATCAGTGTCTAACTGTCTAAATGATACAAAAAGTCAGCGACAAAGGCAATCTTGCTCTTGCAATCTTTTAATTGTGGCTGGTGGAAAATGTGCCTATAATAACTGCCGCCCTGGTAGAGGGTAGCAAGCGCGAAGGTTTCGTTTAAGCGTTTCTCCACGTTATAACTAACTCGTACAATATATCTGTATCGCTATAGTGTATCGCTCGATGTGAAAAGGACCCCATTTTTCTGTGCTTCATGAAACACTAAGCTCTTCTTTCACAATAAATTTTAACTTCCAGTTACACTGAACAAATAATTAATGGTAGTTTTCGAATTTTGTTTCGCGATTCTTTTCACCATGAAACAATCTACACTGAATTACGGTATCATCAGGCACCACTAGTCAATAGCTTCATCACAAATATTTTTGTAATAAATAAAAAAAGATAAAATAAATACGAGCATGGCTTCATTTTACAACATCGTACTTCTCTCCTCAAAATTTTCTGCATTAAAAAAAACTGACATTTCAAATCAACTATGTCTTGAATAGCCATGGTCAAAGTCAAGTAAAGAAATTTCCAAATGTAATATTACTTCACACTATTACTTCTGAATGCTTTTTAAATTTCAGACCTAAATTTCATGAGATAATTAAATAAACGATATAAAATATAATTCACATAATACCAATAATAATATAATATCAAAGAAAACACAACTGGGCCCACAAAGAGTTCAATTTAAATGTTTTTTTGAAATCTCATTGAGGATATGTAACCATTACGAAACAATTACATCACAATTATCATCAATTATCTTTTTATATCGCTATAATACTTCTTACTACGCATCCACCTCAACCATATGAAAGGATTAGTAGGAAAACCATCAATAACTACATGTAGAAAAGCACTCAGGAAACACAACCTCCGCTAGGACTAATAATTAATTAATAATTAACCATTTCATAATTAATGAATTATCAACAAAATCAACAAAAGCTAATATTATATTATCTTCAACGGCTCATGCCTGACCTTTCTTGAAAATTTAATGAATTGATACCCTTTCACAAAATCTAAACTATAAATAGCAATCATTCGTTTCAGAAAATCACAACCCACACACAAAATTAAATGCATAGAAGGATCACGTGTATAAACATTTAAAACAATACTAAGGCTACGTAAGAGCTGATGACGTACGGAGTCTGAAACCTTGGAAAACGCGATGGTGTGAAGGTAAACTTCCTGTGAATTTAAAATTAAATGTCATTTTAAATGATTATTACTCAGAATATTGTAAACATTTTACCTTGCCGCTACATGTAATAAGCTTCTTTTTTATTCCTAATCAGAAGGGTTCTATTTGCATGTCTTTATGGGCATATAGTCTCCATATGCCCATACAGACATTTTGTCCTATGCATTTTTGCCTGAAAATAATGGGTTTCACAACCCGGCACATAAAAAATAAATAAATAAATAAATAAATAAAACTTACATATATACATTTTGTGACCTTCTTAGGTTATATATGGTTTCACGCATTTTCTAATTTAACAGTGTTTATATCTATTAAAAACACATATTTAAGTATTGCAACACAACATTTTTCAACTGGTCTTTTACAAATCAAATTCAAAAACTGCCATTAATATCTAATATCATCAAAACGTCGTAAGAACAAGTCAATTCTCAAATCGCCCATTTAGTGGTGGGTCGAAGTTCACTTCTTAATTCACCAGCATTTTCTTTTTATCCAATTGTCAAAGTCTAGATGCTTTTAAGGGGTCTTCAAATAAGAACAGTTAGATTTTTGTGTTCACAACAAACAATTACATGACACACAATGTTTGACAGTCTTTGGAACAATCTCAATACAAGTACACAGCAATCATAATAAATACAGATGCCAGAGAAGAGTTCAATTTCTTCTAAATCACTTCACTTGCATTCACCAGTTCCAAGAAAATAAATCAAATTGGTTAAGATCGTTCAAATCATCCACGTCCCTACATTCCACTTGCAACACTGCTCGTATTCTACCACAATCCATCTCGATTCGACAAAAATTAATCACATTGATGTGATTGAAAATAGAGTAAACTGGATCCTTCACCAGACCTGACACCAGAAGAAGTTGAATCAAAATCCCTCATAATTTGCCAAGTTGGCTGCCTCTGACCATGCAGCGTGGGGAGCCCCATCCATTTCTCCAGCCAACTGATTGTCATCCCGGAGTCGATGACTCTGTCCACCAATACGAGCCTTACACTCAGGACATGTTGCTTCTTCCATGGCACCGCCACAGTCTCCGATTGCGTAGATATGACCTGTCAACAGAGGGGATAACTTTGTATTCATTAATTTCTATTTTGCTTTCAAAGGTGCAAGCACTTATCAACATTCTTGAAATTTGTACGAGACCACCAAACATTGTGGTACTTTCTATAGTAAAGATTGATGTTAATATATAAGGTATCTATACAGAATTTGTACAGAAAACCCAGAGGTGGAAAAGTTCACAAGTCAAGGTGGGAACTAGGATGGCCAAGATACATGTACAGGCTCACAAATGACCATTACTGTTTTGAAGCTGACTTTATATTTAAAAAACTTACCATTTGGACACTTAAACCAATGCCCCTGGGTCAGACCCATGGCTTGAACAATTTCCTGGCGTTCTGTGTCTGTGATTCCTAGCCCCGAGGCTGGACAGGCCTCCTTCACATCAGAGTATATTCTCTGCACTTTTGCCTCTCTTTCTGGAGAAAGTGGTTTCTTGTCACACAGTAGGGTTTTCACACGATCAAACTGATCAGATAATTCGGGAGGCAAGGTCCTCCCGCTGTTCTCTATTTGGGTTTTCATGATGAACCAGTTGCCAAGCAGGGCCAGGCGAGTTGTCTCTGCACTGAACTGGGTTGTCTCCTGCTCGCTCATGTGAGAGCGAGGCTGAACGACCCAGAAATGAAGTGAAGTGAGCTCCTTCATAATGTCCTTGAGTTCACTGGCATATTTCTGGGTTTTCTTTCGCTGTACTGCAAGCTTCAATTTCATGCCAGAGAGCTTTTTAATGAAGTTGATTTGATTCTCAATGAAGGCCAACTGATCGGCAGAAAATGTTCCACCTGTAATCTTGGATTCAAAATCAGCTAATATGTTTTGTGCATGTGTCAAACCACTTGAATCCCCTATGATGTTAGAAATTTCTCTTTGCAGATGTCTGCGAGTTGCAAGGAGTATGTGCATATCAACAGACAATTTCCTTTTCACTAATTCTATATTTGCTAACTGGGTGTTAATCTGCCTGCCATAACGCAGGTTTCTCCTAATTGGTGTCTTACACAGAGGGCAGCATTTCAACTGAATGCTCATGCTTTTTGAATCACTGCTGTCCATGGCAAAATACTGATCAAGTCCACTGACTTCAAAGTAGTGCTTGCAATCCTCGAGTTGTACAAAATGAGCGTCATCTTCATCCTCAGTCCCAAAGAATATTTTTGTCACCTCCTCGCGATTGCAAACTCGACAGAATTTGGGACATGGCTCACCACAAAGGCCAATACATGGATGTTTGCATCTCAGCATCCTGCTGCAAGGTTCATTACAAGGTGGACGGTCACATGGCTCACTGCACAGCTTCCTGCATTTGTGGTGCTTGCAGGCCCATGCACAGTCTTCCATACAAGGCACACAGGGTTCTCCACAAGTCTTTTGGCATTTGCTGTGCACACAGCGGTTCTCACATGGCCTCTGACAAGGGGGGCAGTTCTTTGTGCACGTGTCCTTGCATGGATGTCCACATACTAAAGTGCGATCACATTTCTGTTGGCATGGCATGTGCAGTCGCCCTTGTCTGCATTTTCCACATTCCCCAGCACATTTGTGCCCACACTCCAGTATCGCTTCACATCGTTTAGGACATGGGAAAGTCTCAGGAGTACGATGGCAGTATGTCGTGACAACATGACCACATGGCCAAAGACGTGGGTACACCTCATCACATTTCTTTGTGTGATCCTCACCACACTTGTTGCTGCACTTGTGCCCACAAGGCAGTTTTACATCACATGGCTGATTACAGGACACTAGATACGGGTCCACTGAGCAAGCCACTGATTGCTTATGGCCACAGGCTGGCATGACTTGATCCACCATCTTCATGCATTTGCCACATTTTTCAAAGCAGCGTTTTGTGCACTGATGCATCCTGTTGCAAATTGTCTTCCTGCATGGCTCCATGCATCTATGATTTGCATGCTCTTTATCATAGCTATGGCAGACCTTTTTGCAGACATGTCCACAAGGAAGACGATATTCACAAGGTAGCATGCACCCACCCTCTGGTGCCTTTTTAAAATCAAGATCTGTCTTGGCAAGAATGCCCTCTTTTTCTGGATGGTTCTGACAATACAAGTGCAGACCTTCTCCAATAGACCCATATTTCCGAAGGTCATAAATTATCTGGCTCCACATGCTATTTTCAGCTAACAGCCTGAAGTTTCCTATCACATAAAAACCCTTTTTGGCGCGTGATAACGCCACACAAATGCGGTTTTGAATAGCCAAGAATCCCATGATTCCTTCTGTGTTGCTGCGGACAAGTGATAGTAAGATGATATCATTTTCTTCCCCTTGAAAATTGTCTACCGAGGACACACGCACTCCCTCGAATGTTGTCTTGGGCATGATTCTCTTGAACTGCAACAGCTGGCCTGTGTAAGTTGTTAGAATGGTAATCTGCGATGCCCCATATCCCTGAAGGAGGAGATACTTACAAAGGGCAACGATAAACATTGCTTCATGTTTATTGGATCGACTTTTGTTCTCTCCATCCTTAAATTCTGGATAGCTATGGTTAATGAAGAACATATTTTTAGAAACGCCTCTGATGTCTTCAGCATCCTCAACACTTGGGTGGTTTTGCAGCTCCGGATAGATGTGCCTTAGCAATGTAGCAATCTCAGGACGCATGCGGTGCTGCAGCTGTAGGCAGTTAACTTGCATGCCATTGTTGAGCATTCTCTCAAAGAGACACACATCAAGATTGTACTTCTTTGCCAGATCATAAACTGTTGGTGTTGGTCTCAACTGCTTGTGGTCCCCTATCAGGATGAGATGCTGACACGACTTCGTAAGTGAGGTCACAATGTGGGCCTCGAGTACTTCAGCTGCTTCCTCAACAATCACAATCTTGGGCTGGACTTCTTGGAGGATGCTGCGGTACTTGGCAGCGCCAGTTGTGGTCATGCCAATCACAGCAGCCTCTTTAAGAATCATCAAATCCTGCTGGTTCTTGACTTCCCTCATGCGTGCTGAGACTTCTTCATACTGTTCCTCATACCCTTCTATACCTTCCTTAAGGTGTGTACAGTATTTGGTAATCCACAAGTGATATAACCGCCATCTATCTTTGTCGGAAAGGGTCCAGACGTTGCCCACTTCCCCAGCTTCATCTTCAGACATTGCATTCTTGTTGCGAAGCCCATCTTTTAGTATCTTCTTGCGTTTTTTGGATGTTTGATTTTGCACTTGCCAACCCATATCTTCCCCGTCTTTGGTATTACCATATTCAGAGATGCTTAAGTTATCAAAATCAAGGGCAAGAGGAATATCAGAAATGACCACCCTCCTCCTCCTAGAAAAATCAGCTTCCTCTTCTTCATCATCAATTATCCTTTGCTCCTGCAACATGTCTGCTTCTTCTTCCACATCAATAACTTCCTCTTCTTCTTCTTCATCCTCGTTCCCTTCCTCCTTTCTTTCTCCTTCATCAAACCCTCTATAATCCCCTGGGGCATACAGGTTATTTCCCAAACCTAACCAGTCGACCATATTGGAATTCCTTTGAGAAGTTTGTTCAAATGGCCAATCCAACCCTTGAGGCTGTCTGAACTCTGTTAGGCTTCTGTAGTGGACACGGTCAATAAAAGGGCGTAGTGTGTCCTCATGCAAGATTCCTTGGTCTGTCTGCTCTATGCGGGCTACAATATTTTCCATTTGCAACTCTATTTCCTTCATCTCTGATCTTGCATCATTCAAACCTTCGTGGACCCCCCTTGGCACCTTCTTGTTTTGACGCATTTCATCTTTCAGGTTTCTGATTAAAAACTTCTCCAGAGCCTTGCTCTTTGACCTGCCCCCGACCCTGACAATGCCATTTTGTATGAAGGTGTGTATGCCCTCTAGGAACTGATCCAATGCATGGTTGGTGTAGCATACAACTAGAACAGGAGTGTCTCCACCCCACACAGCTTTATTGTGAAGGAGCGCCCGAGCAATCTTCAGACCCAGGTACGTCTTGCCTGTACCAGGTGGTCCCTGTATAACAGCTATCTCTTTGGTAAGGGCTGTCTTCAGGGCTCGCATTTGGGATTCATCCAGGTGGAACACCTCAGCACTAGGCCAGCGCGAGGTAATCAGTGCTGGCACCTGTTGGGCACTCTCAACTGCCAGACTGTACACTGGGAAGTCATCATTATCTGTACCATCTTCAAGTTGAAGGAGGGGTTTCTGTCTTTGGACAAGTGGGTCAACTGTTAGTGGACTTAAATCAAATGCAACTCTATACCCGGCTCTTCCCATCAGGTATTTTGGTGGAGCCACCTCCTTTTCACAGCGAACTATATATCTTTCCAATGGAAATTCATCCTCTTCAATGGTCTGTAGTCCAAAGAGAACATGGCGACATGCCTCAAAGTAAGCAGTTGTCTCAGCCATAATGAAGGAGGTGGCGGGCGAAATTCTGTGTACCTCTCCCATTCTCTGCTCAAAACGTACTTCTAGGAACCCTTCTGCCAAGTCTTTTGGACTGCGGTTGGCAACTGTGGCAAACAGAAATGTTTGGAAATGATCCAATGACAGGCATACAAGAGAACCAAAGATAAGTCTTTTAGTGGACTCCCACCTCACCCCCTTAAGTTTGGACACATCAAAACGTATTCTGTACACCAATCCATTTGCTGTACACACTGGATTAACCACATGGACATCATGGTAGATACGGATGTCTTGAAGACGGTCATCTCTTCTGTTGATAGATCCAAGATTTGAAAACTTTGTAATTCCCTCTCTTAAAGGCCGTACAAAATCTTCGCGCAGGAGGCGAAACTGGACATCAAGATAATGGTTGACATTTCGGTATCCACCAAGTGTCTTATTTGCTCTTAGAAATGGCTCTTCTTTCACGTTGATGTCATCAAGAGTGGGGAAAACGGGAACATTTCTGAAATCATCTGGTGGGAGCTGATCATCAGAAGCTACGGCCATGTCACACCCTGCACCGCCTTCTTGCTCTGTCTTCAAAATGGCTTCACTCAAGCTGTTTACCTCTGCCAGTTGAAGCTCAATATCTTCATCAATAATGTCACTATTCACCTGAAGTCTTATAATGGTGCTACCTAACATTGACAAGGGACCCAGAACAGTGGCTACTGCAGCCTGTGGTAACCTTATAAGTAGTTCTCTAAATATCTTTAGCATGTCTTTTATGGGCTCTTTAAATTCTTCTTGCTTGTAGATTGAACTTTCTAGACCCATCTGGGCAATGTACTTTACAAGGTGCTCACTCAAAAATTTGGAGTCTTTGACAATGTTCAGTAGCTGTATCAAAAGCTGGGGCGTCGAGCTGCATGTGCAAGCTTTAGCTAACAAGGCAAGGACAAGCTTGATCCAATCAGGTTTCAACGAGTCTGATGACAAGAGTTCCCGAAATCCACTTCTTGAGTGATTTAATGTGGTTAAAAGTTCAGAAGGTTCTTTGGACTGAAATTCAACAAGTTTACGGTACCCAATACCTGGTATCCTCCTCTCTGCATCTTGTCTTGCATGACTGCCCCCTCTACTGGCATTTCTTGGCCTACCATTGGCATATCCTCCTTGTTGCCTTGAACCAGAGAGGATATGTTACAAATATCAGTAACCAATTAAATGACAATATATATCAATTGGCAGCAAATTAGACAATGAAGTTGGCAAATATACAGATATTTTAATTCTAAAAACAAGTAAATTAAAAGAAACAGACTTAGTGTTTTAAAAACATCATAAAAAATATTTTTCCCTTTAACAATGGGTAGAGTCTATCAAAGAGAGGTATGTGCTTTTCACTGTTCCTTCTCTCCTTTGGTTGTTCTAACCAACCACATACACTGTATATACACTAATGTCAAGACATTTTCATCACTTTAATGTTGTTGTAAATTCGAAACAGCTCATTTAACAACAGCAATAATGAGAAAACCTATGAGCAAACTAAACTAAAAGTTATAAATAACTTTATTAGTTAAAAAGAGAAACCATTGTCAGAGAATTAAGCTCTCCTGGGTGCGGAGATCGAAAAGGAGAGAAGAGAGGAGAGTCGGGGCCATGCGGTGCGTTACTATTTCAGACAGAGTGTGGAAGCGTTTTAAGCACTGGACGTTGTAATTAGTAGATTTATTGTTGGAATAGACTGTGTTGATGTTCCGTGGACTGCACTGAATGCTTTGATACCATAAATTCACCAAGTTACGGCATAAACTAACCAAGATAGGAATCGGCGGCAAGTACTGTTACATTGCATTAGTTACTGTTACGTCATGTACTGTGATAATCTGGAAACTGATCTTTATTCAGTGGAAAATCTTAACTTTCGAAAATAATAAAGGAGACATTCAGAACATATGCAAATGCGCTGTTGTTTTTCCTGACAACCATCTACCTTTATCTTTAGACATACATTTTTATGATTACATTTTAAAAAAATTGTAAAAGTGAACAAGAGAAAAAAAGCATCTTGCTAATTATCTATATATAAAGGCAAGGCACACTTAATATAAAAAAAAAAATTAAATATATTACATTTTATTAAATCCTACAAGGGATATAATAAATACATGATCATTCATAAGTTTCATTTGTCTCGGTTGCTTTGTATAAAAGTTATGTTCTTTTTAATAATATGCTCCAAATGACCGCATTCTCTATGTACAGTATAGGCTAGTCATTGGTAATCCAACAGATGTATGTTTAAAGCAATATACCCCCACTTTTTGTGGAAGGGGGGGGGGAGGGACATAATAAATGGCCTCAGTATATGTTGTATACTCACTCTGCATCACGAGGCCACTGAAAATCTCCACCTCTGCCGCGTGATCTTCCCCTTCCTCTCCCACGCCAACCACCATTGCCTCTTCCTCTCTCCGCCTAACAAAAAAGAAAATCATTGAAGTTGTTAGAAATAAATTAAATTACACTCTGTCAATGAATCATTAACCCCATTGGGATCAAAAAGGCCCCATTCAGAATAGGGGACTAACTAGTTAGTCTGAGGGTCAAATATGGCAACCCACTCCAAAGCTTGTCGTCTTATCCTCTAGTAGACACTGAATAGATATCCCGTGGGGAAGTATTCAAGTGGGCCGGCCATATTTGACCCTTGAACTAGTTAGTCTCCTATTCTGGGAATGGGGTGTAAGCTTGTGTTATCCCCAGTATTCAGGCAAGGATATCCCAGAAGTATTCAAGTGGGTCAGATATATTTGACCCCAGGACTAGTCAGACCCTAGTCTTGGATGGGACCTTGGTGCTGACCTAGAAACCTCCCCAGGCAGCCCAGTAAATGAGCAGGCCTACAAAACTACCAGACTAGGCACCAAATGATCCCGAAATCGACTCTAGAACAATTCCTCCCCCGGACTTTTCCTCCCAAGGACAATTCCCCTCCGGACTCCCCCCCAAGAAATATATATTTATTTACAAATATATAGAACAAAGTGTAAAGTTTAAAACATTTCATCCATTTTATTAATGTTTTTAGTGTGATAATACAACTTCATCATGAAACAAATTTAATGTGTATCGAATCATTTTAACTTTTACAATTATATTTTAAGATTGTGCATCTCACGACTATTTGTTTTTATTGTAAAATCCAATTTTTTAAGTTGCAAATAAATACATATTATTATTATTATTATTATTATTATTATTATTATTATTATAATTGTAAAACAAATTCCTTTTTCATTGAGTACAGGTACAGGAAGATTTGATAAATATCGAATCAAAGTATAATCACCTATCCTTCAGGTAAAGGTTGGGTAAACAGATGAACAGGTAAACAGATATTTTATGAATATTTTAGTGGTGAGAGTAGAGGGTAGGTGGGTAGTGGTCAAGCAATTAAAAATAGTCAAAGGGATACCTGGATAAGCAAGAAAATCTGTTTACCACAACTCAACCTAGAGATGCACCTTGATTCAAGACTTACTCAACCAAGGGGGGAGTAGTAAAGCAATTAAATGTAACAGTTAAATCATCAAAGGGTTACCTGGATGAGTGAGATCATCTGTTTACCCCTCCTTTACCTGGAGATATACTTTGATCAGATTTATAATAAAATGTTGTGTACTTCTATCTCGAAAATTGTATGTACTTGTACTCCATGAAAATAATTTGTTTTATAAGATTTTCTATCCTCGAGTTGCAACATCACACTAAGAAATACTCAGAAAATGGATGAAAATATTTCAACTTTGTACTCTTTACTTTATATTTGTATATAAATGTATATTCTTTGGGGGCAAGTTGTCCTGGGGGGGGGGAATCATTGTCAGGGGGAAATAGTCCAGGGGGAATTGTCCTGATACCCCGAAATCACCGGTAGATCGGACCACACTACCTGTTTTCAAGGTGTGTGTCAGCACACATTTCACTATCTGGAATTGATAATAATATTTTAGATGGTTATTGCCACCATTCTGTCTCTACTAGCTGAGTTTATGAAACATACATTTATAAAATCATGTTTTTCTCTCTCTTCTTACTGGTACATTTCAACATTCCCTACAATAACCCAAATAAGAGCCAACAAACATATCTGAATGCACATCATTCATTTATGAATTATTGTTCAAAGATGGACAAAACACAATTATTTCCAAGATACGCATGCAGGTATGTGGTTCTGGGCCTTTGGAGTAAGTGAGAAATGAACTGCATATATGCAGTAACATTCCATATGGGGATAATTAAGCTCCATTATTGCAAATAAAAATAATTTCCAAAATTTTTGCTAATCTTTGAAAAAAAAATTGGATTTTGGTTGCANAGCTCCTTGGGACCAAAAAAATTGTTGGAGTTGTGCAAAGATTATAGTTACACAAATTTCATAAAATTCAGTTAATACAAAAATAATAAATAATGATAATAATAAAAATAAATAAATAATACATTTTTCAATATTGGATTGTGATAAACCAAAACTAAACTTTTTCTATGAAGAGCAAGGTGGAATGTACTCTGTACAAAATATCAACAGAATGTATATCAGTTTAAGTTCTAATTGGATAATTACTATCAAGTACACCCTTGTTTTTGTTTATCTTATTATAGTGCCCTCAAATGCTTGATGTTCCCCAATTTAGAGGCACAAATAGAATAAAAGCCCACGTAATAACTTAATATTATGTGTAAAGATATGTCATATGGATACCTTGGATAAATATGTTGTATACATAAAAATTATAACCAAAATGTGTTGTATTTCCACATAAATAACATTTTTCTCATCACCAACAATGAGATGTCTTATTTACATAACATTAAAGTGATATTGATGACGCAAACTAAATGCCATTATGGAGAAAAACTATAGGTACCATAATCTACATTCATTAGGAAATTTAACTTCTACTACATTTTAAAACATATTTTTCTCCAATATCTTCTGCTGTTCTTAGATCATACTTATCAGTAATTCTGAGATAAAGTATGATCTAAGTAATCTTATTTACAGAACATTGACATTTTTTACTGATCAAAAGTAGCTCTTCTGGATAAACTACAAAAATTTTTGAAGAACTAGTTTCTCTTTTTTCTTTCAATTTTTTGCACAGATTTCAGGTAAGTATGAGATAAATAGGTAGGGACTCAAAATAAATACTAAGATCTTCTTATACATTTGTACATTGAAATGTTCAACTTAAATAAATTTTAGGGAGAGATAGACAAGAAAGATGTTGCTACTTCTTTCTCGATATTTGAAAATAAAAATTGTGCTCAAGGAGAAGCACAATTATTGCTCCTGGACAAGTGGATTTCAATATTTGGATTATCATATGAACAGTTGTTTATATGTTAATTCAATTGAATATTGGTACATATTTTTATTTGACCTTGTACATTATGCAAAAGTATATATCCCTAAAGTAAGGTAGCTATTTACAAGTTAACAATAAAGTTCACTACTACAGAACCATAGTTATTATAGAATAGAATACAAAAATACATGAATAAACAGACTAAATGATTAAAAGAAAATACATTAGGACAAGGACTAGACAAAAACCAAATTGGACAGATTTACAAGATCAGTTACTACATATTTACTTATACCAAGACTGGTGCTTTGAACAAAAGGATAATTGCATTTGTATTTCCCATAAAGGCTTGCCTGTATTTTCATATGCTTCGGTGTGTTCATCCTATTGTTCGAAATGCCAGCAGTGGTGTAAGTCAGTTACAACTACTCGTCGTCCACTATGCGTCCTACAGACTGCGCCTCGATATAATTACACTCTTGTATGTCGCATACAGTGGACGACTCTTGTTGTAACTAGTACTTACTCAAACATAAGTTAGATCTGACAATTTATTGCAACACCCACCACTGATGCCAAAACAATCTTCAGTACATACAATATGATAAAACTCAAGAGGAACTATGCTCTCAACATTATATAAATTGCACAAAAAAATCTCATTCATATCACAATTTTGGCCAATTTTTTGACCAATTCACTTTTTCACTCTTGCATTTATTTTTATATATAATTTTAAAGGAGAAAAGGGCAAATTTGTAGCAAAATATGGCAGTTATTTTTCCATTTTAATCAACATTTTGCCAAATTTGAACAATTCCATGCTCATTAAAAAAATCATACCCAACAGTGTTTTCACCTTATTTTTGTTCGAAAACAAATTCACAATTGAAGCCACCACTTCTTGTCACCCTTGCACTTACTTTCTTGCCTATAAATATTTACTGTGACTTTCCTTTGGCAGTCACTCATTTTAAGTCTCTCTATTTATGCCAATAGTCCACGGACAGGACATGATTCCAAGCTTGGGCACAAGTTACTGGTGTTGTTGTCTTTGCAATAAAGTTATAAAGGCTCCATGCTACTTTTTAAAACTATTTTTGGACACAAAAAGTGGTAAATGTTTTCTATATTTCATCTATTCTAAATAATTTCTCACAATAAGTGGTCCTCTTCACCCTGGAAAGGTTGAAAGTGAAATTTCTAAGTAATTCTTAAGACTCCAGACTAAAAAAATAAAGAACAAATATAAATAATAAATATATGAAAGAGTCGGCACAAATATTCGATACACAAGACATTCCAAACACACCACCGCCTCTTTTAATAGGTTTTATCTATGTATAAGAATATTTATCCAGCTATTTTCAATACCTCAAACAAAACACATGCAGCAGTGCACAAAGTTTATCACATAGTTATAATTTACTATTTCATGAATACATCATAAATGATTCATAATGGTTATAGCACTATTAGGCTTGCTGACAAATTACACATGATTACACAATGTTACGACAAAATTCCAGAAGACAACAGATTTATCTAAAGTCTAAATTGATGTTTCAAATTAAAATTTTTGCATAAATAATTCACAAGCTTCCATATTGATTACAATAGTGACTCAAAAAATAGAAAAATGTTATACTCTAAAACAAAAAAGGTTTATAGATTTTAATTTTCTCAACATTTTTTTAGTTAGTGTTCACCTTCAAGTTGGTGATTAGAGGAAATTTACTGTAATTTCTATAAAAGATTTTATATCATATAAAGACATAATGTTAACAGTGCACCTCTGATAAGGACCCATGTTTAATGAGTTTCACATAAAGAATGCCCACACATATCGGCCTTTTCATACCTGATCATATATTTCAGAGAGTTGGTCATCAGAGTCCTAAAACATTGAACAAAACAACAGGTAAGAAAATCCCCAAAATATTTCTTTCTTTTAATTCAAATATATTAACAGCTGAGACAGCCATATTAAAAAAAAAAAAACAATAAGTTTAATATCTTATAACATTCCAAAGTCATACAAGACTTAGTGCATCTCAAATAAGTACAGAATCAAAAGCCTGGCCTGTTATACATTTCTGTATTATGATTTTCCCAATTTGTTATTTCCTCCTTACCTCCTGTCAATCAATAGAAGTGTACATGCCAGGTCCATGCAAATGTGATGCACCCCACTCAACAATGAAAAAACAGAAACTTCCTAGCACACACATCACTTGCAAAATCAACAACTGCCACTTCAGCATTAACACGTCACTGTAGAAGAATGCTACAGCTGCAGCCAGAGACTGGAAACGTGAAACATTTTGAAAAATATAAGTTTTATTTCTTATTCAATTACATCACAGCAATTAACTTTAGGAGTTCTATAAGTAAAATCTTCTTACCGACTTAAAGAAAATCATGAGAGATCCTGTCATGGATTAATACCATTCTACTATCTGAACAATTTATACTATAACATTAATTCTAAATTAGTAACTTTTTCAGATTTTACCTGCATAAATTTATAGAGGGCAAAGGCTGGGGCACTCTCATCTGGGTACATGAAGCCAAGTATGGAGTAGATCTGAAAAGTTACCAGCAAAATGAATTTTGAAATATTCTCATTGATAAAAATTCAACAAATAAAAAAAGTGTATTCAATCTTACAGCACTCTTTTCAAAGGCAATTCAATCTATCAGTGTTGTTAAATGAGCTAACAATGAATTCTAGTACAACTCATTCAATTACATGCCCTTGGATTAGGAACATTTCGTAGAAATGTAGCAGAAACAAGTTGAGGATTACAAACATTCTTTTTTCTTTCAATTACTTTTGGATGTTTACTTTTCATATTTAATCTCAAGTTTTTTTTTGTAATTTTTATAACACAATTTGTAAACATATTTTTTCTAAAATATGAGCCCCTATATCTTTTAGAGAACACACCTGAGTGTTGAAGGTGCTGTCACCAAATCCCAACAGGAAACCACACAAAACTGCTACATACTCACTGAAAATAATAGTGCATGTTTAACAGACAATCAAATTCATAAATTTATGTGATGCATGATACCAAACAGAACAGTTTTTCTGTTGATAAATTATTCAGTTATATACCCATTTAGAGGTGCTATAAGAGGGGGCACCTGCCTCTCTGAATATTAAATTTGTGAGGAAGTGCCAAATGGAGACAAATTTAGAATCTAAAAAAAAAAAAAAA